TATAAATGAAAGGGCTTTTAAATTTTGTTTATACTTGCTTTCATTTCCAGAAAATTCACATTCTCTGTTTCCTTTTCCTTCCAGGCAGGAATTTAGCCCTTCCTCCGTTCTCATAGCGTTTTGTAGACAACTCTTCTTATTACTATTTTACTATTTCTCACTTTGTTTTACAGCTGTAGGTGCTAGTATATGTATATACATGGATATACGCCTCTCTTACTAGCCTGTGAACTCCCCAGCATCATGTGCAATATCTCACACACTGAAGGTCTAAATACATAAATGTTGAATGAATAAATCCTAAAGTAAATATCTGTGATCTTTGCAGATTACACATACATTAAAATATATATCTTAATTTTCATTTTTTCAGAACTTGTCACTGAATTATGGGTTAGAAATTGTAACGTCAGCCTTTCAATATTCCAACTCTAAGTAATTGATATAACATAATACAATGTAACATAATGACAATATTGTTTTTTCTTTTTTAAAATTTTGTTTATTGTGCTTTAGGGTCCGGGGTACATGTGCTACACATGTAGGATGGTTGCATAGGTACACACATGGCAATGTGGTTTGCTGCCTCCATCCCTCTGTCACCTATATCTGGCATTTCTCCCCATGTTATCCCTCCCTAACCTCCCTACCCTTCACTGTCCCTCCCTTGTGATGCTCCCCTCCCTGTGTCCATGTATTCTCACTGTTCAACACCTGCCTGTGAGTGAGAACATGTGTTTTTCTGTTCTTGTGTCAGTTTGCTGAGAATGATGGTTTCCAGAGTCATCCATGTCCCGACAAAGGACACGAACTCATCATTTTTTATGGTTGCATAGTACTCCATGGTGTGTATGTGCCACATTTTCCTTGTCCAGTCTGTCATCGATGGACATTTGGGTTGGTTCCAGGTTTTGCTGTTGTAAACAGTGCTGCAGTGAACATACATGTGCATGTGTCTTTATAACAGAACGATTTATAATCCTTTGGATATATACCCAGTAATGGGATTGCTGGGTCAAATGGAATTTCTATTTCTAGGTCCTTGAGGAATCGCCACCCTGTCTTCCACAATGGTTGAACTAATTTACACTCCCACCAACAGTGTAAAAGTGTTTCTATTTCTCCACATCCTCTCCGGCATCTGTTGTCTCCAGATTTTTAATGATCGCCATTCTAACTGGTGTGAGATGGTATCTCAGTGTGGTTTTGATTTGCATTTCTGTAATGACCAGTGATGATGAGCATTTTTTCATATATTTGTTGGCCGCGTATTTGTCTTCTTTTGAAAAATGTCTGTTTATATCCTTCGCCCACTTTTGAATAGGTTTATTTGTTTGTTTTTTCTTGTAAATCTGTTTTAGTTATTTGTAGACTCTGGATATTAGCCCTTTGTTAGATGGGTAGATTACAAAATTTTTTTCCCATTCTGTTGATTGCCAGTTAACTCTAATGATTGTTTCTTTTGCTGTACAGAAACTCTGGAGTTTAATTAGATCCCATTTGTCTATTCTGGCTTTTGTTGCCATTGCTTTTGATGTTTTAGTCATGAAGTCCATGCCTATGCCTATGTCCTGAATGGTTTTGCCTAGGTTTTTCTTTTAGGGTTTTTATGGTTTTAGGCCTTATGTTTAAGTCTTTAATCCATCTGGAGTTAATTTTAGTGTAAGGTATCAGAAGGGGGTCCAGTTTCTGCTTTCTGCACATGGCTAGCCAGCTTTCCCAACACTATTTATTAAACAGGGAATCCTTTCCCCATTGCTTTTGTCAGGTTTGTCAAAGATCAGATGGTTGTAGATGTGTGGTGTTGCCTCTGAGGCCTCTGTTCTGGTCCATTGGCCTATATCTCTGTTTTGGTACCAGTACCATGCTGTTTTGATTACTATAGCCTTGTAGTATAGTTTGAAGTCAGGTAGTGTGATGCCTCCAGCTTTGTTCTTTTTGCTTAGAATTGTCTTGGCTATGCAGGCTCTCTTTTGGTTCCTTATGAACTTTGAAGTGTTTTTTTTCCAGTACTGTGAAGAGGCTCATAGGTAGGTTGAAAGGGATAGCATTGAATCTATAAATTACTTTGGGCAGTGTGACCATTTTCATGATATTGATTCTTCCTAACCATGAACATGGAATTTTTCTCCATCTGTTTGTATCCTCTCTTATTTCCTTGAGCAGTGGTTTGTAGTTCTCCTTGAAGAGGTCCTTTACATCCTTGGTTAGTTGTATTCCTAGGCATTTTATTCTCTTTGTAGCAATTGTGAATGGCAGTTTGTTCTTGACTTGTCTCTCTTTAAGTCTGTTATTGGTGTATAGGAATGCCTGTAATTTTTGCACACTGATTTTGTATCCTGAGACTGCTGAAGTTGCTTATCAGTTTAAGGAGATTTTGGGATGAGAGGATGGAGTCTTCTAAATATTCAATCATGTCGTCTGCAAATAGAGACAATTTGACTTCCTCCTTTCCTAATTGAATACCCTCTATTTCTTTTTCTTGCCTGATTGCTCTGGCTAGAACTTCCAATATTATGTTGAATAGGAGTGGTGAGAGAGAGCATCCTTGTCTAGTGCCACATTTCAGAGGGAATGCTTCCAGTTTTTGCCCATTCAGTATGATATTGGATATGGGTTTGTCATAAATAGCTTTTATTATTTTGAGATACATTCCATAGATACCTAGTTTATTGAGGGTTTTTAGCATAAAGGGCTGTTGAATTTTGTCAAAGGCCTTCTCTGCATCTACTGAGATAATCATGTGGTTTCTGTCTTTGGTTCTGTTTATGTAGTAGATTACATTTATAGACTTGCGTATGTTCAACCAGCCTTGCATTCCCAGGATGAAGCCTACTTGATCATGATGGATAAGCTCTTTGATGTGCTGTTAGATTCGGTTTGCCAGTATTTTATTTAAGATTTTTGCATCTATGTTCATCATGGATATTGGCCTGAAGTTTTCTTTATTTGTTGATTCTCTGCCAAGTTTTGGTATCAGGATGATGTTGGTTTCATAAAATGATTTGGGAAGGATTCCCTCTTTTTGAATTGTTTGGAATAATTTCAGAAGGAATGGTACCAGTTCCTCTTTGTATGTCTGGTAGAATTCGGCTGTGAACCCATCTGGGCCTGGGCTTTTTTTGGGTGGTAGGCTATTAATTGCTGCCTCAACTTCAGCCCTTGTTACTGGTCTATTCAGGGTTTCAACTTCTTCCTGGTTTAGGCTTGGGAAGGTGCAAGTGTCCAGGAATTTAGCCATTTCTTCCAGGTTTACTGGTTTGTGTGCATAGAGTTGTTTGTAGTACTCTCTGATGGTGGATTGTATTTCTGTGGAATCTGTGGTGATATCCCCTTTGTTGTTTTTTATTGCATCAATTTGATTCTTCTCTCTTTTCTTTTTTTATTCATCTGGCTCGTAGTCTGTTTTGTTGATCTTTTCAAAAAAGCAGCTCCTGGATTTATTGATTTTTTTGAAGGGTTTTCGTTTGTCTCTATCTCCTTCAGTTCTGCTCTGATCTTAGTTATTTCTTGTCTCCTGCTAGCTTTTGAGTTTTTTTGATCTTGCTCCTCTAGCTCTTTCAATGGTGATGATAAGGTGTCGAGTTTAGATCTTTCCTTGCTTCTCATATGGGCATTTATTGCTATAAATTTTCCTCGAGACACCGCTTTAAATGTGTCCCAGAGATTCTGGTATGTTGTGTCTTTGTTCTTGTTGGTTTCGAAGAACATCTTTATTTCTGCCTTCATTTCATTTTTTATCCAGTCAACATTCAAGAACCAATTGTTCAGTTTCCATTTAAGTTGTGCAGTTCTGAGTTAGTTCTTAATCCTGAGTTCTAATTTGATTGCACTGTGGTCTGAGAGACTGTTTGTTATGATTTCAGTTCTTTTGCATTTGCTGAGGAGTGATTTACTTCCAATTATGTGGTAAATTTTAGAGTAGGTGTGATGTGGTGCCAAGAAGAATGTATATTTTGTGGATTTGGGTGGAGAGTTTTGTAGATGTCTATTAGGTTTGCTTGGTTCAGATCTGAGTTCAAGTCCTGGATATCCTTGTTAGTTTTCTGTCTCGTTGATCTAGTATTAACAGTGGAGTGTTAGAGTCTCCCACTAGTATTATGTGGGAGTCTAAGTCTCTTTATAGGTCGTTAAGTTCTTGGTTTATATATCTTGCTTTATGTACAGGGTGCTCCTGTATTGGGTGCATATATATTTAGGATCGTTAGCTCTTCTTGTTGCATTGATCCTTTTACCATTATGTAATGCCCTTTGTCTCTTTTGATCTTTGTTGGTTTTAAAGTCTATTTTATCAGAGACGAGAATTGCAACTCTTGCTTTTCTTTGCTCCCCATTTGCTTGGTAAATCTTCCTCCATCCTTTTATTTTGAGTCTTGTGTATCCTTGTGTGTAAGATGGGTTTCGTGGATACAGCACATTGATGGGTTTTGACTTTTTCTCCAATTTGCCAGTCTGTGTCTTTTAATTAGGGCATTTAGCCCATTTACATTTCAGGTTAATGTTGTGTGTGAATCTGATCCTGCCATTTTGATGCTAGCTGGTTGTTTTGCTGGTTAGTTGACACGGTTTCTTCATTTTGTCAATGCTTTTTAGCATTTGGTACGTTTTTGGAATAGCTGGTACTGGTCATTCCTTTCCACATTTAGTGCTTCTTTCAGGAGCTCTTGTAAGGTAGGCCCGGTGGTGAGGACACAAATGAAGACGAATGCAGCCTTTCTGACTGCTTGCGGCTATTTCACCCCCTGGAATGGAGCTGGCCACTTATTTAAATGTGCACCTACTAAGCCTGATGTGTTTGATAAATAAATACATAAATCATCCTTGTAGTTGAATGTTCACAATAAGATACTCATATAGAAATCAGATAATCTTTTAAAACTCGACCTTTCTAAATGCTTTAGTAAAGAGCTTTAAAGGGACATTATATGAAAATCTTTTTCTTAGTTGTACATTATTTACCAGAACTTTATTCTTTCTAATAATTTTTTTTTTTTAAAGACCCGGGGAAAGTGCGAACATAGTCCCTCACTACCACAAATGATGCGGTTGAGTTTCCCACATTTGGGAAATCGCAGGGGTCAGCACATCCGGAATGTAACGGATGACCTCACCCTGGGAAAACCCTCTTCGTGATCATGGTGTCTCCCCTGCCAGGTAAGTATATTATTCTAATTTTATTCTTCGTATGAAAGGGGTTAAATGCCATATAAACTTCTTGGTACTTTGCTAGGGGTCAAACTTACGTTTAATATGTATAAGGGTAGAAAACTTTGCCAATTTAAAACTATTTCTTCATACTAGAAAAACAATCTAAACTTTCCTTCTGTTTCTTCAGACTTTGTTTCTAGAGTCACAAATATGACCACAGAAAATGCGTAAGTCAGTAAAACTATTTAATCTGTATTGCTTATTAAGGACCTGAAAATGTCTGTGAGATGCTCAGTCTCGCTCACACCCTAGTTCTTGTTTCATGTGATATTTTAACATAAGGGACATAGGTCCTAAGGATTGCCCATCTGTGTTGCATTTTACATACAGTGGCCCAAACTTTAAATATACATTTGTTTTCCTAAAGTACTCAAGTAATACTTTGTACCTTAATTCACATTTGCTTATCTAAGTTCTTTTCAATAATAAATTCAAAAACAAGTTCATCTTAAAAGACCCAAGTAGCTCTAATACATTTTCTAACACATACGACCAGTGAGATAGGCCAGCCAAACGATCTTCTTAATGTTAGCTAACAGATTATGTGAGAACATAATACTGCTTCACAGAACCATAAATATGTTTTCAAAGTAAACATCCCTAATCATGTCAAGAGAAAGTAAGTAGTATTTCTTCCAAAATCACTAATTGACCGCAACAAGAAATTACATTTTTAAAAGCATGTTTTACTTCTATTCCAGATATTCAGTTGATTAAATTTGCTAAATAGATGTATGTATGTATTTGTATACTCATATTATATATATATATATGTGTGTGTGTGTGTGTGTGTGTGTGTGTGTGTGTGTGTGTGTGTGACATTTAAACTCAGGTGAATTCACCTCAATTTTATCTGCAGATAAAGAAACTGTATCTTAGAAAACTTCCTGTAACCTTAGCAAGAGATGGGTTCAGGAAGCATCTGGGCCATGCCTGACTCCCCAGCCAATGATCTTCTACATAGTTAAAACATTCCATGAAAGCAGTATATAAAGAGTGTTTCACTTTCAAATAAACATTACAGGTAATAGTATGATGGTAATTATTTCTGTCACAGTAAGCCTTTGCTATTCAAAAAAATACAATAACTATAATTAATATGAGTTCCTCTGAACATTTTAAATAAAAGGACTACATAGTTCCCGTTTCTAAAACATAAGAAAATTAACAATTTTTCAGTCATATATTGAGTATTTGCATATGTTTTACTTAGATTTAAGGGCCATTTAAAGACAGAGCAAATTAAGTCAAGAACATGAATAGTCTTTCTTTTCTCTTGTAAATATTAAAAGGCACCTTCAAAAATTAATAGAAACAAATCCAGTCATTCCATAGTTCCAAATACCTAGAAGTGCAAAAGTAGACTTTATATTCATTATTTTTTCCTCATCTATCTATTCTTTGGACATTGAAGGAAAGGAAATTGATGCACAAGTTGGAATGTATTAACGTTTTCCCCTAAGTCTGCAGGACAGAGCAGAAGCGACACTTACGCAGCTGAAAAGGAGCTGTCCTTCTTCGGCTTCTTCTTTTCTCTGGCGTCACTGAAGTCCAGAGCTGCCTTGTCCATGCCGAGTAATTCACTGATTCTGTCTCGGCCGTAGAACTCTCCATACTTATCCATAACCTTGGGGTATGAGAAAAAACATTTTGTTGGCTTCAACCATTAAGTAACATCAACTATATGTGTGTATAATTATTTTCGAGATGAAGTCTCACTTTGTTACCCAGGCTGGAGTGCAATGGTGCGATCTTGGCTCACTGTAACCTCCACCTCCTGGGTTCAAGCAATTCTCTGCCTCAGCCTTCCAAGTACCTGGGATTACAGGCACCCACCACGCTCAGCTAATTTTCTTTTTTTTTTTTTTTTTTTTTTTTTTGTATTTTTAGTAGAGACAGGGTTTCACCATCTACGCAAGGCTACTCTTGAACTCCTGACCTTGTGATCCATCCGCCTTGACCTCCCAGAGTACTGGGATTACAGGCGTGAGCCACTGTGCCTAGCAACATCTATTTTTATACTTACTGTATATTTGCCCTAACAATCACTTAAAATCTAATTTGTGGCTCATCTTCTGTGATCACACTGCTTAAGGTCTAAACAAATTCACAGCATTTTAAATGATACCTATCAGAGGAACAAGATGTCTCTTCAATCAAGAGAGGGAGACATACCAAGGAAGAGGATGAGGTGAAATAAAAGGGTAAGAAATGGAGGGAAATAGAATGAGACTTTACCAAATTAATACTTATTGCCAGATATTATGCTTCATTCCATGTGACTGTCACAATATGTAGGTTTCATATTCAATATTCTATTCTGCAGATAAAGAAACTGTATCTTAGAAGACTTTGTGTACTGTGCCTAAGGCTGCTCAACTTAGCAAGAGATGGGTTCAGGAAGCATCCGGGCCATGCTGGACTCCCCACCCAATGATCTTCTGCATAGAGCTCTGCATGCCAATAGGGAGCATGTCACAGGGTGGCATCCTTCCATGGTCTTGATTTCAACCCTTCAACTCTCTGGCCACAATGTCCATCTTTCCGCCCCACTCCCCTGAGTATCCTGCAATTCTTCAGTAACAGCAGGACCTGCAACCTTGTCACCAACCTCATTTTAATTATCATCTAGTATAGATTCCGTGTCCATCATTAGACTAATTCTTAACAGTCCCCCTCAGCTTCCTTGCTTATTTCTATTCTGTTCCATTTGCCTGGCTTTGCCCATGTGTTGTGCTTTTAAAGCAGAGCTTGGACATGGCTTACAGCTTCCTTTTGAGCTCAGCATGTCCAACTCTGGGATACAGCTCCTCTCAGCCTCCGGTTCATATACCTCCTGAGTCTCACATAGCAATGAAAATGCAGATTGGGCATGATGGTTCACGCCTGTAATCCCAGCAGTTTAGGAGGCCGAGGTGGGTGGATCATTTGATGTCAGGAGTTCAAGACCAGCTTGGACAACATGGTGAGACCCTGTTTCTACTAAAAATACAAAAATTAGCCGGGTATGTCGGCAGACGCCTGTAATGCCAGCTACTTGGGAGACTAAGGTAGGAGAATCGCTTAACTCAGGAGGAAGGGGGGTTGCAGTGAGCTGAGACCATGCAACTGTACTCCAGCCTGGGCAACAGAGTAAGACTCTGTCTCAGAAACAAAAGAAAGAAAAAATGGAGAGAAAAGGAAAAGCAATGAAAGACAAACAGGGAAAAAAAACAGTCTGTTATACAGGAGAAATGAGGATTAGAAAAGTAGATGAAATGTAAAAATACAAGATTGAAGGGAATGAGAAGGAAATACATCAATGAAAAGAAGGGATTAACAGAAATAAAAATCGGCTTTTTCTGAATGTATACAATCAGGTAAGTTAAAAGAAACCAATAGAGCCTATGAACATGAACCACTTAGGTTAATTAAAACAATTTGTTTGCATGATTCTCACAGTGATAAACATGGGATGGGCTGATCTGAGTTGGGGATTGTTTATGGACTGTGTTCTCACATTCCCTGCAGAACAAACTGGGTACTGTAGCAGGAAAGTCAGAAATAGGATGATTTGCCATTGTAGCTTATCTATTTATTTGACTATAAATATCACATGTTCTCCAGAGAAACTCTTGCTTTAATAATTTAGAAGCTGCTTCCTTACTCCATTATATCATAGGAATAAAATGTTCAAATTATCTATTTAAAATTAGTTTAAAATTATTCTTTCAATGCCTTTGCCTCATTTGTATGTGCTCAGATGCACTAGCACAGTGCTACTCAAGATGCTGGGTCACAAAAGAACAAAAAAACTTGCACTTACTCCATGCAAAAATCGAACACATTGCTTCTTTCTAACAAAGGAATATATATGTGGGTTTTTTTTGTTTTTTTTTTTTCAATGTGCTTACTGATGTAGTTAGTGTAAATTACTGGTGCAAGTTCTATATCTCTGCCAACTGGCAACAAAACATTTTCAGGCCAGGCACGGTGGCTCATGCCTGTAATCCCAGCACTTTGGGAGGCTGAGGTGGGCGGATCATGAGGTCAGGAGTTCAAGACCAGCCTGGCTAACATGGTGAAATCCCATCTCTACTAAAATACAAAAAAAATTAGCTGGGCATGGTGGCACGTGCCTATAATCCCAGCCACTCCAGAGGCTGAGGCAGGAGAATTGCTTGAACTGGGACCCACATGGCTGTGGTTGCAGTGAGCCGAGATGGTGCCACTGCATTCCAGCCTGGGCTACAGAGCAAGACTCTGTCTCCAAAAAAAAAAAAAAAAAAAAGATTAGGGCCTTAGTGCCTTTGATAGTTGAGAGCTGAACCCTATTCACATGTCACTGTTCTTTCTACTACCCTCTAATGTTAGCACAGAAGAATAAGACTGTATTTATTTTTAAAAATCTTAAGTAAATGAAATTCAGTCCTCTGTTGTCATCCAATGACTTCATTTCTTTACCGTAAAGGAGGACACGAGAGCTAGGGATTTATCAGCTGTCTTATCTGAAAGTAGCCTTAGCCATCTTAGGTTACTCAAGTAATTTCAAAGAAAATTCTTACCAATAATTATTGTTACGGACTGAACACTATTTAGCTGTGTAAGGACTCAGCTAAATTTTGGGGTTGTGGAGTATGGATTTCTTATGTCCTATTTTTATTTTAATTAATTTATTTTTTATTGAGATGGAGTCTCTTGCTCTGTCACCCAGGCTGGAGGGTAGGGGTGCAATCTCGACTCACTGGACTCACTGCAACGTCCACCACCCAGGTTGAAGCAATTCTCCTGCCTCAGTTTCCCGAGTAGCTGGGATTACAGGCACCCACTACCACACCTGGCTGATTTTTGTATTTTTAGTAGAGACGAGGCTTAGCCAAGTTGGCTGGGCTGGTATAAACTCCTGACTTCAAGTGATCCGCCTGCCTCTGAACCTGGGCAATGGAGGTGGCAGTGAGTCGAGATCACACCCCTGCCCTCAAGTCTGGGCCACGGAGTGAGACTGCATCTCAAAAAAGATATTAATAGGCAGATAAATTATACCTCAGTATCTTATTCTACATCTGAATCACATCAAATTAAAATCTGAACTGTGCTTTAAGAAAAGTATAGAGGATTCCAAGTAGTATTACCTTTCTTTTAACAAATTTGTCCCAGTAGTTGTTGGGAAATGACCTAAAATGTAGAAAAGCATAAAAGTAAACGGTAGTATTTTTTAATGATAAAAATAACATATCATTTGGGATATATGGCATACTTAAAATAATATTTAAACATATACCCTGCCATCGATGTAAACTTACAATGAATTTGATTAACATCACATAAGTTCCTGCATCATAGGCGTTTGAATATTATTTTAAATATTAACATGTAAATATATATAAAAGATTATAAGCTGATACTTTAACAGTGAAGAATATGAGCATATTTATTAGGTAGTATTGTTATGCTTATTTGTTTATAACATAACAGTACATAGATCTGTTGGTCAATTGCCTTTAAAAATTGAAGTATGTAGAAACCTGTCATTGTTTTTCCTATGAAGAAAAAAAAATCTCCTTCCCACCAGCTATCCTCAAGGAGCCTGAGATCACAGCACCAAAGCTCAGCTCCAGCACTATCACTAACACATAGTTTACCTAAAGGGACCAATCTGCTTAGACTTAGTATTAACGTGTAGAATCGCTAAACAAAACATTTAGCATTTAGAATAAACACGTATCACATATAAATCATCTCTATTTGACAACTCAGAACCCATTAGCAAATAACTTTTTCATAACTAATAAGCAAAACTAATCAATTTAAAAATATTTCACTCTTGATTAGTACATATAAACGACTACAAATACTGCACTACTGATTCTTTTGACAGTGAAAAAGTATACTTTTGTGATGGATTTACACTCAGAACAGCAGCTAGTCATGATCTCACAAGGCTCAATAATTATTGACAGAAAAAGCATTTGTTTTTCTCCTACATTTTACACTATGTCCTAACAGTTTTACGGTAGGCTACTTGATGGCACTGAAAGTTGATGACTCAGGTGTACTGAATGTCTAAAATTCAGTATTTTTTCCTTTAATGCTACAACTCTTTCCTTAATGAATAGTTTTTGCTTCCTCTGCTTTTGGATGAGACCACACTGCTCTGTAGGTTATGCTGTTTCTGCTATACACATCCCTGAACACTGAGTAATGGATGTGACGTTCCATCAGTGCTGTGGAGGTGAACTCTAAGCCAGTTTTGATTAAGGAATTCAGAACTCAACGGGCAAAAATTGAGGATATCCGTTAGGAGGCTGACGGTGCTTAGTCTTTAGATTTTTCTTGGCTGAATATGTAACTATTATTCACCTCTGCTAAACTTTTGACAAATCGCAGAAACTCCAACCAAATATTTTCATGTCTTGAAATTTCTGAGATGAGAAATGTCTCATTTAATTCTTTACTCACTGTGTGTTGATTACAAGTCTGTCCCACTGGCCTTTAATATCATCTTCTGAAGGCTGTTCAGTAATATAAAGCCCATCAAATTCCAATTTCCGTGCTACTTCCTTTTCTCGCTTAAAAATAACCAATGGAACCTATATATGAAAAATAAATAGGTTAAAATTACGTGAGATTTACTGGCATCTCTTGTGGTCACTATCTTTACAAAACAGCTTTTAGATAGAAGTCTTTCCTGTGTACTTCCAGAAAGGTAAAAATTGAATGAAAATGAATCGGCTATATTCAAGCAGGAAGAAGCACCTAGAAGGTTTTGGAAAAACAGAAGATAGAATAGATACTACATATATGCATATGTTTTTAAACACAAAGGAGCTTATAAATAACTACATTAATAAAATCATTTTTAAATTTCAAAGACAAAAAGATTATGCAAAATCATTTTCTTTTTACATATATGTCTCAACATGAATGAAATAAAATTTAGCAATCGTAGCAATGTTCCCAGATGTATGCTACTAAAATGCAGTTTTATTTGAGAAACCTCTTTAGTAATTTCATGCTCAGCATCACCACGTGCTGTTTTGAGATAAATTTTAATTTCAACATCAGCAAAAATCTTTGTCAGTTTGTCAAAATATCTCCAGAACATATTGATTCTCTTTTCATATGGACAGACTTTAGAAGACAGACACAGATATTCCGGAAATAGCAAAGAATATGCACTCCCGTAAAGCAACAGAATACTGAGCCTTGGTTTTTCAAACATCTTCTAGAAGATTTACAACCAGAGGCAGAGGACAGTGAAAGTGAAATAAAAGCATTACAGTGAAAAAGTGTCTTGCTAGGAAAAGATAAAGAGGTTTGCACAGGTAATGGGAAGCCCTGAGAACTCGGAGAGATTATCTTGGGTTCTAGTCACCAAATTTTATCGTTCCCTTGACAGGCCTCTGGAGATAAAGCTGCATTATTTTCTGGGTGAAGTGTGACAAATCATGAGGCATTTCTGCCAAGAATAGTGATTGATAGATACTTACCTAACAATAGAACAATCAAAATGACTCCTAGGATCAATACAATGTATTTCTGTAAGTCTTAATATGCTGGAGTATCACTGCATTACCATGAGCCATGGTAAATTAGTTCACTTCTGTACGACCAACTTATAGGCCAAATTGTCTACTTAATGTGCATAATTATCAATACATGAAAGAAAGCTACATTAAAAGAGACCATGGCCATATCCACTTCCTAGGGCAGACTAGTCAATGTAGATGTATAAAGGCCACTCTCCAATGCCCCAGGCCAGGACAGCCGTGAGGGGGCATCCCAGCTTCAGAGACTGCACCTGCTGTGTCTACACAGTAGCCCACTTTCCCCTCTGTCCCATCCTGCTTCCTCCATTTGCCCCATGGGTGTTGATTCAGGGAGCATTCCCTCATAAACTCTGTGCACAACATTTCCAGCTCAGAATCTGCTTCCCCAGAAGTCCAGTCTGCAACACACACACACACACACACACACACACACACACACACACTCACTGGTACCTTGGTGCCTTACTATCTTACTTTCAAGCAGTAGTATCCAATGATGCAGAAGAAAGAAATGACTGTGTGGAGAATAGCTAAGATACGCAACGTGGGCTCCATGTAGCCGCTGCTCTCCTCCAGTACATAGTGAACTGCGATGATTCTATGAGAGCTGCTGTCCAGGCTGGTCACTTTGGCATTTTCACTTGAACTTCGAGTGGGGAGTTCCCTTCCTTCAACCACAGAAGAAGTGGAGACCTGATTCAAACCATTTAAAGTAGAGTCAGTCTGCTGCATCTAAGATATCATTGCAAGCAAAAGACAAAGGAAATACAGCTCTTTTAGCAAATAGCTGGATGTGAAGTCACTGCAAGATGAACTAATAGCAAAGGCTAAAAAAGATAGCTTTTCAACAACCAAAGGCAAGTAATGAACATACTTTACAAATTCATTCCTATTCAACCAAAAGTTATGAGGATTCCAGTGCATGCATGAAAAAATTAGATGGCTAAACTCTCTTCTCAGTTACAAAAGAATGTGACACAGGTATGCCACACCCAGACATAGTCACAACTAAGATATTCAGCTAAATTAGACTGAGAATACTGTGGGCAAGCCCTCTGCCAAATCAGATGCCCTTCAGTTGAGGCATTTCTCAGTTCTCAGGAACAAATCTATACTGCCTTCCTAGATCACAGTGATATCGGTGCCTGGACATCAGTATTTCATAATGGGTTTAGACACGTTACCTACTAGTAGTAGATATATATGTTCATTGTGAAATGTTTACATTCATTTATGTCTATTTGTAGTTTTATACCAGTTATTCAAACAGTAAGATGTACGTACCTTATAAAAGAGCAAGATGAAATTGATAGCAAATGCAACAAATAAGGCTAACATTCTCATGTTGTAAAAGTTGCGAGCAAAATAGTTCTGAGGGTAAAAAAAAAAAAAAAAGCATTATGAAAAGGAGGTCACTGAATCAAGAGACTTGAAATCTGCAGACAATGTAAATAAAGCATTCATTCGTTTACCCCAAACAATTGATCGCAAGCCTACCATGTTCCAAGCACCATTCTCCGTGCTGCAGACCTAACGGTGAGGGAGAACATTTCTGCCACCATGGAGGAGATCAAGAATAAAAAAGCATGCCCACAAATAAAAAGTATAACTTCAGGCTGGGCATGGTGGCTCACGCCTGTAATCCTAGCACTTTGGGAGGCCAAGGTGGGTGGATCACCTGAGGTCAGGAGTTCAAGACCAGCCTGGCCATCATGGTGAAACCCCATCCTTAAAAAAAAAGAAAAAGTATAACTTCAGAGAATGCTAAATGCTATGAAGAAAACTACATCAGGTTAGGAGCTTAGGGAATAGGGGCGCTATTTTAGATGGTGCTGGTCTGGGAAGGTTTCTCTCAGGAGGAGAGCTTTGGACAGAGAGGCCTGAATGCAGGAAGGGAGAAAGTCATGCAAACATTTGGCGAAATCGTGTGTCAAAGAGAGGAATGGGTAGAGGCCCTGAGTTAGCAGTGATGTTGGTGTGTTTGAGAAATAGAAACACAGTGAGAAGAGAGACTAGTGTGTGGAAGGTGACTAGGGGGATGTCATCAGACAGGTGAGCAGCGGGCAGGGTTTTTTAGGCTTCGGATAAACGGTCGCCTTGTCTTCGACAGTGTGGTGGTTCAGTTTAGAACCTCTGAGGCCTCACTCTCTGGATCTGAAGCCTGCCTCCCTCCATTTCCTAGTGTGGGATATGGACAAACGACTTCATCTTTCCTGTAGCATGACTCTGCTTACCTACATGCAAAGTGGGGATCACAACAGACCTTAACTCTTAAGTGTGCATTGAGGATTAAATGAGTTAATGTGGGGAAAATTAATTCTTATTATATCTACCATCTATAATAAATGTATTCTAGTATAATTATTGTTTTATTCTCGGTGGGATGGGGAGCTGTTGGAGGATTTGAGGAGGGCTTGATGCAGTCGGATTATGAGTTGGAAGGACCACTCCAACTACTGTGTGGAGACCTGACAGCAGTGAAATGAGAGTGAAAGCCCGAGGACCGGTTAGAAAGTTACTAGGAGACCTCAGGCGCAGGTGCGGCCGAAGGAGGTGGCATGCACTTAATGGTACCTGTGGACACGGCAGGAACTGGGCAGACTCGGTGTGTTTGGAACAACTGGGGAGAATTATCATTGGGTTGCATTTAAGGTGGGAAAGAGAGGGTTCAAAGATAATAACTTCTGAATTTGGAAGCCCAAGCGACTAAGTGAACAGCTGGTACAATTTATTGGGCTGGGTAAAAAATAAAGCCTAGAGAAGTAGGTTTAAAGTAATAGGTTGGGGCGAACATTAAGTATTTGTTTTAATATTAAATGGGAGATGTCTATATAACGTAAGTGGCTATGTCAGGGGATTTCCCATCATAAAACTACATCGAAATGTAACACCTCAGAATGCTATCCCCCTCTGTGTACACACCCCTTCTCTGTTTGTGTCATTTGCCCACACAGGACCCCATCTCTGCTGCCAAGGCTCACGAGAACAAGGCTGTCCACCACACGCAGACTGGGTCGGCTTCATTGGTTCTCCCTGGAAGGTGGATCCGAGAACCAATGGGAATCCCCATGTGTGCATACCCCATCTCTGTCTGTGTCATTTCTCCACACAGGTCCCTTATTGGCAGTAAGGACACTGGGAGCACTGTCTTGGCAAGAACCAAATGAAAGCGTTTCAGGGAGTGTCAACCTAAGTAGACGTTATGGGTCTGACAGCAGAGAGCGATGGGCCACGGACATGCACTCTAAAAGACAAACACACTACAATCCGCAGATAGACTATGTGCTGGACTAACCTGGTTCCCTAACTGCCACTCAAGAAAAGGTCAGCAAATATTTCCTGAGCCTAAAGTATTATGGTCCTCCACTATATCAGTAACAAATACTCATTCTAAAACATCTTACGAGAAGCTTCTGTTGATACGCTATGATTTTCTTCCAGAATGCTGACTCAGGCACTTCCGGTTCTCCGTATCTGTGTGTGTGAAGCTGCCTCAACTTCTGTTTCCCCTTGTCTTCTTTGACTTTCTCCTCTTTCTCTCCATCTTCTCCCCTATGAAAACACGTGAACAAAACATAAGCTCTCCGGAAACTAAACAGCTGGTGTGGAAAAATACCCAAATGGACAAATAGTGTAGCCCGTCGTATCACTTTTGAAAACTCATTGCTTTGCCCATGAGTGATAATACTCCGAATTTCAGAATGAGGAGTAGGATCTCCTGTTGGTCACAGTCTCCTGTTGATGGATAATTCCGTGAATTTGAAATAGAGAGGACATTTTATAGGCTTGAAGAATCTTTATATATAGCACATTCCTTCCAATTCTGTAAGAAAAACATTTAATTTTAAGAAAAGAACAGTGAAGACTGAGTGTGCTGTGACTGTCCAATATACCCTATTTTTAAATTACAATTTTAATGCTCAATTTTTTTTTTTTTTGAGATGGAGTTTTGCTCTGTCACCCAGGTTGGAGTGCAGTGGCGCGACCTCAGCTCACTGCAACCTCCACCTCCCAGGTTCAAGTGACTCTCTGGCCTCAGCCTCCCAACTAGCTGGGATTACAGGCATGTGCCACCATGCACAGGTAACTATATATACTTATTTATTTAGTAGAGACAAGATTTCACCATGTTGGCCAGGCTGGACTGCTCTTTTTGTGTTTGTTTTTGTTTTGAGACAGAGTCTCCCTCTATAGCCCGGGCTAGAGGGCAGTGGCGTGATCTCGGCTCACTGCAACCTCTGTCTCTCGGGTCCTGGTTCAAGCAATTCTCCTGCTTCAGCCTCCCCAGTAGCTGGGATTACAGGAATGCGCCACCATGCCTGGTTAAGTTTTGTATTTTTAATAGAGATGGGGTTTCATCATGTTAGCCAGGCTCATCTTGAACTCCTGACCCCATGATTTGCCTGGCTCGACCTCCCAAAGTGCTGGGATTACAGGCTTACAATTTTTTTTTTTTTTTTTTTTTTGAGATGGAGTTTCGCTCTCGTCACCCAGGCTGGAGTGCAATGGCGCGATCTCGGCTCACCGCAACCTCCGCCTCCTGGGTTCAGGCAATTCTCCTGCCTCAGCCTCCTGACTAGCTGGGATTACAGGCACGCGCCACCACGCCCAGCTAATTTTTTTGTATTTTTAGTAGAGACGGGGTTTCACCATGTTGACCAGGATGGTCTTGATCTCTCGACCTCATGATCCACCTGCCTCGGCCTCCCAAAGTGCTGGGATTACAGGCTTGAGCCACCATGCCCGGCCCAGGCTTACAATTTTTAACACTTGCCATTAAGATTTAAAATCAGAGGCCTACACATTTAATTGTTCACATGTATAAAGTATATCTCTATACTCATACATTGACATATATTAACTAAATTTATTAAATATAGAAATTTAAAATAAAATGAATTATAGTAATGTTATATTAGTTCCAGACAACGATATTAGAAGAATTGACATTTGATATCCTTCAGGTGCAAAATATCAGTCTTCATTAAAGTGCAGTCATGTATTAATATGTAAACCACAAATATTAATATATAAGCTATACTTAACTCATGAGGTGTATCTGACATGATTTTTAATCTTAGTTATAGAGTTACCATTGAAATGCCTGTCTTGCTGTTATTTATGTCTGCTGTTTATCTTAATAGCTATTTATGTGGCCATTTTTACAACTGACCCAATAGTGTAAGATCTATAACAATGAATAGTGCTGACTACAAAGCACATACAATGAAAACAGACCAAAGAAAATAACAGAGTAGCGGAGAAAATTTCAATGCTATGTGAGACTAGTGGCACGACAGGCCACCTAAAATTTCCTTTCCTTCTTCCCCCAACTTTTCAAATGCTCCTATAAAATTATATAAACGTGGAGAAAGATGTAGGATTCCATTATTAACAGAATCCTGATGTTATGAGGGAGTTACACATTTTCATCGCCTCACATCCAGCTCTTCTTTATTGCTTTGTTGACACCAGGAGCGTCGGTGAAAATGAAGACTCCCGGGCCCCACACCAGACCTGCTGAGGCGAGATCTCTGGTTACGGGCCTGGGAATGTTTGAACCAACTCTCCTGGTGATTTTAACGCATGTGGCTCTGGGACTGTGGTTTAAGAAGCATCGCTCCACAGGATTCTAGGAAAGTGCATTTGGAATGTTTGTTTCCTTCCTTCTTGAAAAGGACAAATACGTGAGAGATTTTTAAAGACAGAATTGTGGCCACGAGTCCTCTTACAAAGAGCATTCCATGGAATCACTGGAGTCTTTCCTGATGAGAATCACACAAATGGAGGTCCCCCTGGTAGAGAGGAAAAGACTAGAATGGCAGCCCTGGGGGCGTCACCTTGATCCCTGCCCGTGGCCTGATGTCCTTGCCATCAGAGCCTCTCCACGGAGGTGGCAGAATGAGTTCTGCGGCTCCTTGGCAATATGAGAGTCTCCCTTGCAGCTCCCAAAGGCAGTAAAAGAAAAAAAAAGATGTAATGACAAACTGAAACTAAGTTAGTATATATAGACTATACATACTCAGCTTTTTCAGGTTCAGATTTGGTTTCTTCTCTTTCTTCCTTTCCTTCTTCTTTTGCCTTCTGTTCCTTGAATGAGTCAATGGGGAAAAGAAAACCAGGATTACCCATCACCTTTGAATGAGTTTAGGGAGCCATGTGACCATGCGTCAAACCGTAACCTATATAAGATACCCTGTTGCTTATACCATGATAAAAGTGCCAGGTGGTTTTCATTTTACTGGGCCAACATCTCTCTCTTCTGCACACTGACCTACAACACTGGCACCCCGAGTAGGTACAAACTTTCTGGACTCCTTCTTGATCTCTTTTCTCATTTTAGAAATACCCTTCTTTTTTTTTCGCAACAGGCTGGACTGCAGTGCACAATCTCAGCTCAAGCGGTTCTCCTGCCTCGGTTTCCGGAGTAGAGTAGCTGGGATTACAGGCGGCTGCCACCACACCTGGCTAACTTTTGTATTTTTAGTAGAGATGGCGTTTCACCATGTTGGCCAGGCTGGTCTCGAACTCCTGACCTCAGGTGATCTGGCCACCCAGGCTTCCCAAAGTGCTGGGATTACAGGCGTGAGCCACCACACCCGGTGGAAATACTCATCTTTATCTTAATCCCCTACTAAAATCTTACTCATCCTTCAAGGCCACTTTAAGTCTTAGGTCTTCAACCTTACCTAATTATGTTAAACCATACAAGCGTTTCCATGTACTATGCATTAGCAACCCCTACTGCCCTGCCTATACTATTTAAGACTTAATCATTTTCTAGTTTTCTTCATGTGTGTTAGTTTCATCTCTGGAATAAACTTTTTAAGGTAATTTGAAGGCGGTGACCCCATCTTACCTTTGAATTCCCTATGATACCCAGCGGTGTCAGACACATGGTAAATATGAAGTATTTATGGATGGAATGATGGCTCCATAGACTAATGACTAGAAAGAACGTACAATGAAAACAGGCTAAAGAAAATAACAGAATAGAGGAGAAAATTTCCATGCTCTGTGAGGATAATGGCACTACAGCCACCTAAAAGTTTTCTTTTCCCAACTTTCCAAATGTGTGTATAAAATTATATAAACACGGAGAAAGATGCAGGCTTCCGTGAGAATGGGTACTGAAGTGATATCTAGATGATTTCATCATTCATAAGGACTCTTAAAAACACTAACTTTGTCTACCAAGAAGCATTTCTCTTTGGAAATTCAAGTCACATAGGTAACACCGTTCTAGCACTAGCATGAAACCTGGTCTAATGTTTATTGATTACACCTACCTTAAGTCCAGAGAGAATGCTGCTGTGACTTACAAATAAATTACCTGAAACTTTTCTTGCACCGCAGGCATGGGGACGGGGTTGCTCATGAGGTCACTGAGCCCAGCATTGGGATTGTGAGGAATCAGTTTATACTGCCCTCCTTCTCTCTTCAGATCCAAGCCGAATATGTCCGAAAGAAGGTCACTTTCTTCGGTCAGCTCCTTTAAATCTGTCAGATCCTCGGAGGGCAGGGCGGCTTCCAGGGGTTTCCTCTCTCCCTCCTCCCCATCTCCTCTAACCTCGTCCTGAGTGGGGTCTGGCATGTTGGCCAAGAGTTCTGCAACTTTGATCTTTTTAGCACCTTCTACAAGGCTTCCCCCGAGCAACAGGCTGCAAATGATGCGGAAAAAGCCCCTGAAAACGCTGGCCACGAAGTGCAAGAGGGTCAGAAAAATGCTCCAGTAGGATGAAAAGAAAGCTGTGACCATGTCCTTCACGGTCATCTTTTTTACTTTTTTCATCTGCTTCTTCAGGCTCTTCAGACTGAGCATCCGCATGAGGGTCACGATATTGTACCTCAGTGCAAACAGGGCTGACTTGACCGTCAGGATGGAGAAGAAACCCATTCTCGGCCCCTGCTCTTCGGGCCTCTCCTTCTCACTTTCTTCCTTATTCGCTGACCTCTCGTTCAAATCCGACTCTGAGATCTGAGCCGCCAGCTGCATTTCAAATATGGTGTCCTCGCAGAAGTTAACAAAGAGTTCCATCTTCTCTTTTTCTCCTCCTTCGTTGACCACATCAAATATGAACTGTCTTTTGGACTCCTTGACCTGGGGCTTCTCCCACTGGGTCCGGCTGGACTCACTAATTTCGAAATAGACTCTCTCGATGCGTTTGGCACTTCCCATGATTTCGATGCGGCCCAGGAAAGGCTGAAAATAATTCAGGACGCTCTCTGCTAATTCTAGAAAAGTCTGAAGTCGGGTATCGTTGGGCATGTGCTCAGAGAGGTTCGTCAGGAGGACAGCGACATTGAAGCCGATGTCCTTCGCAGGTTCGTGGAAGCGTTTGACAAACTCTTCGTAGTCGAGGGTTTCATTTTCATCCGTCTCCGCGCAAGACAAAAGAAACTCCGTTTCTGACTGCGTGTAGTGCTTATGGCTCTCCATCGCTTTATGGAAGTCCCTCTTGGATATGACTCCCTTGCCATCGGGGTCATATTCTTTAAAAGTATCAGACGACGTCAAATCTTTTAGTTTTAAGAACATGTCAAAAAATTTGAGAATCATCTCCACGTTGTTGGAAGATTCCACAAGCATATCTACCATCTGTTTGCCAATTGTTCCATTAACAACATTACCTGGTGGCAAAGCAATTGCATTTATTTAAAATAAACTTTAACAAAATTAATGTTATAGAGAAAATAACAATATCGATGTTTAATAACATCTGAATCAAGGATACGTTCATCTCTCACTCTATTAAATGATGATTATTTATAAACCATACTTTAACAAAATCCATGTTTATAGAAAAAATAATATAGATCTTTAGTAACATCTGAATCAAAGACATGGCTTTATCTCTCACTCTATAAAAAGATAATTATTTATAAACCAGAGTTTAAAAAGTGATTACACAGACATGCATAACCCTATTTACAAAGTAATTAGACTGACATACACAAAATAGTAATTGAATAAAAGCTGACATTTTTCCCTCAAATTAATCAAAGAATCAAAATGTTTTAGATGAAGAAAATGAGCCAAAGAGCCACAAACTAAAATCAAGTTTCATATTAGTAATAAAAACATTTGTTCAGCCCTTTAGAGTTGAAAAATCACTATCATAGACAATATCTGATTTAATGTTCGTATGTAAGTCAGGTACGTTTTGTTAACACTAATTTTACAGATGAGGAAACTGAAGTTCAACAAGACTCCGTGATTGGGCCCGCTGTATAATTATTAAAGGTTAGTGCCAGGACTGCAGACCAGATCCTCTTGAGAGCAAACTGTACGCTCTTTCTGATTCCTAAGGAAAAGCACCTTTTACATTTCTTCATGATTCAGTGTTTATAGTTAGAAAATGGCAGATTCCTGAACTACAGGGTCATAGAATGCTTTTAGCCATTGAACAGAATGTGCCATATAACACAAAGACAGGCAGTAGAAGAAAGGTTGCTGGCCAGAGGTACACAGAGTCAATCTGAGAAGCAGTAAGCTCCACGGTGTTAAGAGTGTGTGACCTGGAGCTGCAGTGTTGGGTTTGAATCCAGGCTTAACGTGCTCAGTAACCTGGGCAGATTTCTCAGCCTCTCTGTACCTCAGTTTCCTCATTTGCAAACTTGGGATAATAATACCATCAAACTCATTAACTTGTTACTAGGACTAAACAAGTACTTAATCCAGCATCTGGCACATTATAAGAGGCTGGTTTTAAGTCACTGCTCTGCTTGTGGCTCCTGCAGTTATTATTATTATTTTTATTATTTGAAATGGAGTTTTGCTCTTGTTACCCAGGCTGTAGTGCAATGGTGAGATCTCGGCTTACTGCAACTTCTGCCTCCTGGGTTCAAGCAATTCTCCTGCCTCAGCCTCCTGAGTAGCTGGGACTACAGGCGCACGCCACCATGCCCAGCTAATTTTTGTATTTTTTTCTTTTCTTTTTTTTTTTTTTTTTTTTAGTAGAGACAGGGTTTCACCATGTTGGCCAGGCTGGTCTTGAACTCCTGACCTCATGATCCGCCTGCCTCAGCCTCCCACAGTGCTGGGATTACAGGCGTGAGCCACTGTGCCCGGCCTGCTGCAGTTATTATTGTTGCTGTTGGTATTTAAACCAAAATCTGAACTGGGGCCATGCATGGCAAATAGATCCTGTGGTTAGAGGATAGGAAGTGGCTACTTTTGCTCAGCCATTTAGAGTTGCTGCCAACTAAGTGCCTTCAGCAAATGCTGCCATTTCAAAGTCCTAGCATGAGGCATGACAGCTGCCTCAGTGAATTAAAGTGGAGTTATGCCATGTATGGCAGACTCAGAAAATAGGAAGGAATTAAGAAAAAGTGATAGGTGCCAGGCGCAGTGGCTCATGCCTATAATCCCAGTAAGTTGGGAGGTTGAGGTGGGTGAGGTCAGGAGTTCGAGACCAGCTTGACAAACGTGGTGAAAGTCTATCTCTACTAAAAACACAAAGATTAGCTGGGCATGGTGGTGCGCACCTAGAATCCTAGCCACTCAGGAGGCTGAAGTAGGAGAATCACCTGAACCCCAGGAGGTGGAGGCTTCAGTGAACCGAGATGGTGCCATTGCATTCCAGCCTGGGTGACAGAGCGAGGCTCTGTCTCAGAAAAAAAAAAAAAAAAAAAAAAAGTGGTAGGCACCATGCTACATAATACCAAACATTTCTTAGTTGGTTTGGTTGTATTTATAGGATTTCACTGAATTCTCACATCGATCTATCATTTCTGTTTTGCAGAGGAGGAAAACTGAAAAATGCAGATATAGCTTGTCCAAGGGTCACAGTGCCCAGAGGTAAGGAAGCCAGGATTTAAACTCTGGTGGTGGATTTGCAGCCCAAGCTCTTAACTGCTACATTTCCTGCCTGACACAGAAAAAAAATGCAATAACAAAATAAGCTGTCAAGAAAAAAAAAAAAAGAGAAAATTGCAACTGAGAAGTTGTGGTGGGGAGAACGAGACTGCCACTTCCAGCTGCCTTGGGGGACTGAGGCTGTCCTAGAAGTGCCAGGGTTTTAAGAACACAAAGGAGTCACTCTGTCGTCTTTTCAAAGCAGCAGCTTATACAGCTGGAGTTTATCCGAATGTCTGAAATCCCCAGCGATTATGGACAAACGCACTAACAAATAAAACAGTCTTTATAGACTGTCTGGAGAGCTTCCTTTTTAGGATATCACTATGAAATGAAAAGCGTTGTTAAAAAATACAACTGTTTTCCTTTTGTAGATACGTAAACTGAGATATACAGGATTTCCCTTTTTTGAAAAACAAAAAACTCATGTGAAGAAAAGAATAAGCCTGCAATAAATCCCAGGCCTCTGTTACATCTTAATAGTGTTATTTTATTCTATGCTACATTCCGATTCCATAAGCAAGCACAGACTGATCCTTTCAATAAAATAATAAAGGGAATTGAAAAATAGAAATCAGAACTACCTTCTAACATGGACAGCAACATGACCACCATATCCTTCTGCAGATCCATTAGTTCTTTTAATAGCTCAATTTGACTGGAATCCTGAAAACATTAACATTGCGTTTGAGGTAATACAAGAAAACCATGCAGCAAGAACATACTTACTCTCACAAAAAGGGTACTGCTCTGGCAATAAATCATAAGCACTTAAAGCATTATAGAACCAAAGGAAGGCCAAATATTAAAATTATACTTCACAATTCAAAAGTGTTCCTTATTTCAACACATGTTCTTTAAAGTATACTTGTAGACTGGGCGCAGTGGCTCACGCCTGTAATCTCAGCACTTTGGGAGGCCGAGGTGCACAGATCACCTAAGCTCAGGAGTTTGAGACCAGCCTGTGCAACATGACGAAACCCTGTCTCTACTAAAAATATAAAAAATTAGCTGGGCATTATGGTACACGCTGAGTAGTCTCAGCTACTCAGGAGGCTGAGGCACGAGAATTGCTTCAGCCTGAGGCGGAGGTTGCAGTGAGCAGAGATCACGGCACTGCACTCCAGCCTGGGAAACAGCGAGACTGTGCCTCAGGAAAAAAAAAAAAGTATTTGTATGGATAATGAACATATCTAGCAATAATATGAAAAAACCATCGCAGTGGTATATTCTCCAATACAAGACTCAAGAGCACATTTGACATCCATCTACCTTTTATTTGTAAAGCCTGCATTTTTTCTTCTAAGTTCTTGCAGGTACTATTATGTAAAAATCAACTTCACAAAGAAAAGTAAAGGCATATAAGCACCATAGAAGATAAACTTCTTATAAATTTATTTGTTAGATAAACAAATGTAAGCAAAAACCTACACAGGTATTACCTATACTAACATCATACAATGTGTCTTATATACCAATTTGATTAAGCTTTCCAGTATTACTCTGGTTAAAATTTTGGTTTTGCTTTTGATTTTTTTACTATAAAGAAACCTTCTTGTTCAAAGACATATTGTGTGTAAACATCACTAGGCTTAGCTACAGTCCTTAGAAATATGGGTCATACTTACATGTGCACAACTTCATATCTCATCCATATTTAAACTATCCTTTAAAATATAAAATATTTTATAAGGCATTTTATTCGGATTTTGCTACATATGAAGCTAAATTCCCACAGTGTTGGGAGGATGAGATGTTTTCTTTCTAAACAGTTGTTACAGAAACTCTGTAAACCATGAACAATTGCTAGGTTGCACCAGACATTAGTACCCTGATGGAAAAACATCAGGATGAGAACTCTTGTGAGTGTCTACATTTGGTTCATGTCAGTTTCCTTCTTTATTTACCAAAATATCCCTAGTGATTAAATGAAAGACTGGAATTTCCCGATTTGGCTGAAGTCACCGGTAACTCCATACTGTGGTTCTTTCCTTGACCAAACTCTAGCCAGGTATCCCGAGCCCCCTTCTCAACTAGCTCTCAACCTTGGTCTGTAAAGACTTGGAACAAACACGAGTATAGTTTTTAACAGTTCAAGGCTGCGTCCCTAGGATGAGCTCAGCCCCCCACTAAAGTACCTGCCTAGGAAAAACTGCAGGCTGATTAAAAAAAAAAAAAATTGACTGTTCCAGATGATAGCTAAGGATAAGGACTCGGTCTCAGTCTCTGGGGAAGGACAGACTCCTGACTGTGATAATTGCCAGTTAGCTGCATAGCTGGTCTAATCCCATTTCCAGCAGTGAATCCTCTGTACCTTTTCACTCCCCTCACTCTACTGAGCCCCTTTCTCATCCACTCTCTAATCTTCATCCTCCCATTAACTTTCCCAGTCACCTCTGCACACATCAAACCGGTTCAGTTCAGGATGAACTCTTTTTCCTTGTGGCAGCAGCACTACTGATTAAAAACTGTCCTTAATATTTTAACTAGTATCCAGCCTTGTTGTTCTTCAACATCAAGATGTATCCTTCCCACTGTTACTGGTATCCAGCCTTGTCGATCTTTGACAATACGTCCTGCACATTGCTGTATGCAGGCTGGAGGGACGTGTTCTTCACTTTACTGCAGAGGAAACCAGGCCCAGGGAAGAGAGACCTGGCCCACACTGGGCGAACAAGTCGTGACAGCTTGGGAAGAATGGCAGTAACCAGGCCCAGGGAAGAGAGACCTGGCCCACACTGGGGGAACAAGTCGTGACAGCTTGGGAAGAATGGCAGTATTCTTTCTTTCTTTCTTTCTTTTCTTTCTTTCTTTCTTTATTTCTTTTTGAGACAGAGTTTTGCTCTTGTTACCCAGGCTGGAGTGCAATGGCGCAATCTCCGCTCACCGCAACCTCTGCCTCCAGGGTTCAAGCAATTCTCCTGCCTCAGCCTCCTGAGTAGCTGGGACTGCAGGCATGCACCACCATGCCCAGCTAATTTTTGTATTTTTAATAGAGACGGGGTTTAGTAGAGATGTTGACCAGGATGGTCTCAATCTCTTGACCTCGTGATGCACCCGCCTCAGCCTCCCAAAGTGCTGGGATTACAGGCATGAGCCACCGCACCCGGCCCATTCTGTCTTTTACTCTGTCATTCTTTCTTCCACCTGACCACCCGGCAGATACCCACACTCTGAAGGTCTCAGGTTACACCATCAAAATTCGCTGCATCGAAGAGACACTTTCCCAAGAACTTTTCTATTTGCATATCTTTCTGTTTCAAATGAAACAGATACAGCAGTAAGAAAACAAGCTGACAGTTTTCGATAGGTACTCTCAAGTTAACATTAAAACATGGTAGAAAACCTGTTTATTCTTCATTTGCTTATCCATATAATAGCTATTATTTTCTCTTTGTCACAAAGTTAAATATACTTGTTATGGGTAAACATCACCCTACTGAGAACATCTGCTTGTTTATGACCCTGTGACAAAACTGTCTCCCTTGTAACAGATTATAAATCCTATTTTAATTATCTATAAGGGGAAGGAAAATTCTGGTGAGCAATGTCTAGAAAGATGAAGTTTGTGAAATGCACAATGTTTGGGGACTCAACTGTTTCATTTCTCCATTACATTCAATTTCTTAATATCCATTGTCTCAAATTTGAATAATGAATCCTATCCTCAGGTTATATGACGTTCTATATTTAAAAAATACTTTAATGTAGAGCAAAAGAGGCATGATAAAATGATCTTAAAAAGACAAGTTATAAAGTGATTTTAAAAAGCTAATGTTCCAACATCAAAAGGCATGTTTACTTTGCTGATTATAGTCTTCAGTTTGTCATGTGGGAGAGAGGAAGGTAGTTACTTTACCTGCGACAGCTTCATCTGCATGTGGGCAAACACATGAAGAAAGCCGACTACAGCATCCCACAGCCTGCTGTGTGCCAGACTCTGCTGGTTCCCAGTGCAAGGACCCTGGAGCGTAAACAGACAAACGGCAGTCATTCCTCATAATTGATTTGCCAAAACAAACTTTACAGTAACGAGAAAAGTCGACTTAGTGCTGACATACCTCACTACTAGCACGTTATCTAAAAAGATAGGAACTCAAAGTGAAAGAAAGAAATACAGTGGTGATAATGGTACCCTTAAGAGATGAATACTTTCCTCTTTGAAATGTTTAATAAATTCCAAGAAAACATTTCTCAAGGATTTTTAAATTCTGTGAATCTTTTTTTTTTTTTTGGTCTGGCTTTGTTCTCCTTTATTTAGAGGGAAAAAATAAGGTCTGGTTGTTTTGGCTATTAATCAGTAGTTACTATTTCGTATTGAAAAGAATCTGAGAATATGCTTAAGATGAGAGGTGATTACCTCTTATTCCTAAATAGTAACCTGGACAAAGCATTCATATATAGAAAAAAAAAATCCTCTTCAATGTGTTCTTAATATCCAACTGTTTTACAAGTGGCACAACCATTGAGTTGTTTTAAAAGGGTAATCCTTGACTATTAATTTCACGAATCCAGAATCCAAGACAAGTGGCAGCTGTTAAAATTACGAATTGGGAGGTCATTAGGCTGAGATGGCTCCAGAGTCCTGGGTTCCTCCCTAAGAAAACCGAATCCCAACTCAATGTACATTTAAGCTTAACCAATCATAATCCGCCAATTAACTTCCAACTAGAGAGTCCGCCAGTCAGAAACTGCCAACTAATCTCTAGCTAGGGACTCTCCACTTTTACCAATCAAATCTCTTTTTTTGTCTGGCTTCCAGGAGCACCTTATAAAAGTGCCCCCACCCTTGGTGAAGTGCTGAACCATCAGTGTTCTGGTGTTGCTCAATTCATAAACAGTTGAATGCTCAGATAAATTTAAGATGTTATTATGCCTAAGTTTATCTTTTAACAAACTTAACTTTGTTCTCTTAGCTAACACTTTGGAAGTATCAATACTAGAGAGAATCTGCTGTAGCAGGCAGACTATTTTCACGGAGCCAATTTCTGTTTTCACTTTCCAATGAAAAAGATGCTACCATCATTCTGTTTTGTAAACCCATCTATATCCACCATGAAAATAAATAACAGGGATTCTACTTAGAAAGGAAAAAAATACATAAAATACTGCTGTTAACTTCAAAATCTTTCATTCCTTTAGGCAAATAACTCATAAGAACTTTAAACTGCAGACCTCGTAAAAACATTTCAGATCTTATACTAGAAAACAAGTGATTGGAAGAGATGGCAAGATCCAAGATGTTCAACTCGGCACTTTTTCCTGTCTCAGCCTCTCTTGAGATCACAGTGAGATATTGATCATGTATTCTCATGTGACTATGAGAATGACAGGTACCCACATATGACAAAAGCAGTAGACTCACTACCTGCAAAAGGGGTGACTAAAAATAGATCGTTCCACTTTAAGGATATAAGGGGGTTGAAGTTGAAAAGGAGGAGATATTGGAGGGGGTTCTCTATGTGCCGAGCATCTCCATTTCGTGATTTCTGCCTCCCCTTACAC